AGAGAGAGAGAGAGAGAGAGAGAGAGAGAGAGAGAGAGAGAGAGAGATAGAGAGAGAGAGAGCAAGAAAACAGCACTGAAGTCATACAGGTGATGATGCGCTGTGTGTCTTAAATTTTCCGCACGGAGCCGCTTGTCCATACGTGTTGTAGCGCTCCATCTCTTGGACGAGCACAGTGTTCATGCTCTCCCCGTAGAGCACTGGGAACTTCAAGAGGGCTGCTTCTGTGTCGAAATTAGCTGGAAGCTGGGTGGGGGGAAGTAAGCAAGTGTGTAAGTTAAGAACATACAACTGAGTGCATGTAGATTACAATCAATGTAAAGGAAACACCAACAGAAATTGACACTTTATTGGAAAGCCGCACCTGAACTGGTGTCATGTGTATTTTTCTGCGAAAAACTGCGAAATGATGAGGAGGTTTGATTAGTTTGTACCTCATTAAGGATGCCATTCGCAATGTCGAACAGCGTGTTGTCACTCCCAGAGCTAGCCCCTCCTTTAGCTCCTCCTCCCTGGGTGAGCAGCAGTGAATCAAACAGCAACTTTGTCTGCTGGAGATCTTTAGAAATGTCTACATTTTCATGCATCCCAAAAATCTCTGGATCCTGCCTGAACGGAAGCTTCTGGAACACAACAAAGATATCGCCAATTAGTTGGAAGTCATAACGGAGGAAAAAGGAAACACGCAAATACATATTTATCCTATATACGTTCGTTATCTCAGTTGGCTTTACCTTGATGAATACAACGTAGTCGTCGTAGATAGATTTTGGTGGGGCGAAGAAATCGCCGCTAGGTGAGAAAGGGTAGCAAAGTTTCTCGATGATGTCCTGGTTGTAGAAGTCGGCCAAGATGGTCATCAGGAGCCGCCTATCCCAGTCGTCTGTCACGCGGCCGCCATAGTTACACTCACCTGTCAGGTAAGTTATGGCCTCGAAGGGCACCTCATCATATTCATTCACAAACAGCTAAAGAAGAAAACAAATTAAATGCATTTTTAGGTTCTTGTCATGTAGAAACGTGGCCACTGACACTGTGAATGAATACCTGCAGCTGTCTGATGCTCATACGCAGGTCAGACTCATTGAAGCCGTAGGGAATATTCCAGCCCAGTGGACCAAACTTCTTCCTCTCCTGAACAAGAGCATGGAAGAAACACAGTCCATACAGGAGCTTCTCCCAAATCTAGTGGAGAAATCCAAGAGTCAGAGGATGTCCTTCGTATAGACCAATCAAATAAATACATGACAATTCCTCTTCTCACCAGCTCCTTATTGGGGCAGCTAGTGAAGAAGTTTGAGTCCGAAACAGGATCTGTCTGGTAAGACTGTAGCAGGTTGAGTCGTAGTCCTGTTGGAGGCTCGTTTGTCATCTTCACCCCGTTCTGCAGGATGGTCACTGGAAACTGATATCAGAAAGGGTTTTTCTTCAGAACTATAATCAGAATAAATCTCTGTCGAATGAGTCATTTATATGCATTGAGCTTTACCTTGGGTGAAGGGTAGCTTGTGAGCCAAAGGCGAAAGTCCGGGTGGCATGTTGCTGGACTGAAGTCCTCACAGATTTTCTCCAAGTTGGACATCCAGGAAACGGCCAGGTGACAATTCTGCAAACACACCCACGTCCCCTCCTGCATGGCTGTGGATATCATTCTGGCAGCGATGGGCCCCTGGCCCTGCCCCAGAGAGATGGACTGGAACTTGGCACCGTCCATGTTCTTGTCACTGGCGAACTTCAGTAAGCCTGTGGAGGGATGCTGTTATTATCCAGAAGGATCATGCACATGCATGCGTCCGTGAGTGAGTTAGTGTGCACCTTTCTGTCTGTCCACGGCTAATTTCACATTCTGCTGCAGCAAACTGTATAATATTTTGGGTGGCCAGTTTTGGCTGCATGCTCAAGGACCTCTTGTGGTTTCGGTGACTCACACATTTTTTCAAAACACCTTTTATTGCCTGTTTTATACTGCTATTGACAGCCTAGGTCTGGGGTTAGCCAGTTGTGGGTTGTATTCATTCAATCAGACAATACAGAAGTGGAAATTGCAGACACACCTGCCAGAGATCTGCACTCAACTGAGTGCATCTTTCCAGTTTCTAAT